TGTTTTAATATTGGATTCGAACGGTAAAAGGGTTTGTAATACATACCAGCTGACAAATGGATTTCATGTACAAGTAAAGGTAAGACCATAAACTTTTATTATTTCTAGTTAGAAATAAGCTCAACTGGAATAAATTTTAACCTCAAATTAAATATGGGTCACGTTTGTGTGAAGAATGTTGATATGAGCTATAAAACATAACGCATTGTCTGTTAACAGACAATTTGTATTTGTAAATCTGACTGTAAAAGAGTCAGTGCCTCACCAGCTGTCAACCTCACCGCACGTCACTGCTGAACAAGTAGAATCATTATTAGAATTGAATCATTGTTTTTATCAACACAGTCCCTCTTATATCTTAGTCTTCTTTGCCATGATAAAGAGCCCACTAGATGAATGCTTGACTAAAGTGTGACACTCCCACCCTCTGCACTCTTCTTCACCTGCATGTTTTCCCTTAAGTCAGTGGCTTCTCTCAGTAGAGGGGCAGCCATCTTGAAAACCTCATCGACAACTCGAACTCCTAAGTCCCGCAGAGCTGTGTAGTCTCGCCCCTTTCTTGCCTTTCTCACGGACAGACCCCTTTTGTGAGGCTTTCCCCCTCCTCTTCGATTGGTGAGGGCCACATGGACAAACAGTTTGGCATGTGGAAGTTCCTCCCCTGTCAGAAACTGGAGTGGTACATGTCGGTAGCCTGGCTGGAGACACTCCAGAGGGATGGTATACTGACCTGTGGTAGAAGAGAGATCGTATTTCATTTTTATTTGTGATCCAGTATAATCCAAGTTTAAATGACATAAAGTACTCTATATGTCACTTTCTCTGAAGACATTCAGAGAAAGTGACTATCAACAGAACAAGCCTTAGAACTCTGAATGTGAGTTACTCTGACCTATAAAGTCATCCCCAATAAAGTCATCATCCAGAACCACAAAGCGAACCATAGCGAGCTCAGGCAGGATGATCTGGAACTCAAAGCTCTCATCAAAGATAGGATTGTCCCCATTCTGGGTCACCGTCCTGGTGCGACGCTCTGCACAGTCAGCTGGGATCCCATGGATCTCAACATAAACATAAGGGTCCACCACGTCCCCTTTGGCCCCTGAACCCCTTGGCTTGGGCAAGTTCTGACCACTAATCACCTGGGAGAAACATCAACAAACTGTTATTTTTGTATTATTATTTGTCAGAATATAATCATGGGTTTAGAGGATTATCCCTGTTTATTACATTTTCAGTCTTGTTTTTGTAGTCGTGGCAATTATCTTTATCTATAAAACACAACCTAGAAAACTACAAAATAAGACAGGTTCAAATACAATGGAATTGAAGTTTCATAAGAAATTAAGCAATAAGCTCTCAGAGTCTATACATCGCTCCACCACACCTTCACATGGAGTAGCTGTGGAGACACACCAGGCACCATGTCTCTGGTATCGGCACTGAAATAAGACACCTCCTGCCGCATGATGGCCGGCCTCAAAACGTAACCACAGTTCCCATTCTGCCGGAACCAGGCTGTATTCAGGTCCATCATCAGTCCTGCTGTTTGAAAATTCATAGAGACAATCTGGCAACCGCACTTCCACAGGTCCTGGGGGTTCATGTTGCTCGAGTCAATACGCATGGGGTTGGGGTACACCCGTGACAGGAAATGCTTGTTGTGATTGACAAAGTCGCCGGGGCTCTCACCAGCAAGATGCAGAGCCAGAGTCTCATGAAAGGAACATAATTCCCAAGGTTTTTGGCTTATGGATGATGTTGGAAAGTCAATAAAGCGAACTGAATGGCAAAGAGTTACTAGGTCAGATAGCTCCTTTAAAAGTTGGAACCGCTTGGGAGGAAGTTGAGAGGGATTAGGCTGAGTGATGGCTGTGAAAGGGACATTTTTCTGCAAGATGTCTTTCTCACTTCCTCCCAGCACTGTCCCTCCACTATTAGCTGCTTTCATCCTTTGACACATTTCTGCCCCTTCATCCTCCTCACTTACCTCCCCGTCCTCCCCATTAGAACCTAGTACCAACTTCTTACCCTTTATTAGGATTCGATGCCTCAGGGCATACGGTGACGGTAAGTATGACTCTCCTTCGTTTGGGGCATCTATGTATAACCACTCCCCTAGTATCTTCACAAGATTTTGCCACATCACTTTCTGCTGTAGAAGTGAACAGTGGTTCTCAATACATATAATTAATGGATACTCCGAAGCCACAAATGCAAACCTTTCAATTGCTTCTAGCACACAGCGCAGAGCCAGTGGTGGGGAAAGGGTGTGTCCCGTATACACCACTGGTTCCTCATCAGGACCATCCCAAATATCTACCTCTACACATCGACAGCCCATCTTGAGGGCACGAATGTAGCCAGAAATGTCAGAAGGGCCTCTAAACTGGTCCTCGATGAGGTAGGTGTTGTGGGAGGAGTTTATGTAATAGTGGGACAAAGGTTGGGACATGTCCTGACACACAATGTCATGCTCTCTGTCAAAGAGGTGGCACTCTGCTGAAGTGAGGTAGCTGGTGAAGCCATCCAAAGACAGGTAACCCTGCTGTTGGCCCTCCTCTGATGGCTCATGTGACTGGATGAGCTTCAGACTGGTCTCCTCACTCACCTGGAGGACAAGGTAATAGAAGAAAAGTGAGTGGTGGCAGAAATTGGACAAATACAAAGAGAATGATGAGCTTTGCATTTGTGAGTGTGCGCGTGGTTACATGACTTGTTTTCTGCTTTTTAAATGTGGGGTTTTGTGTTACCTACTTGAGCCATGCCTTGCTCAGCCTCAAGGAATCTCATCAGGTCTTGGGTGTCCAAAAATTCCTTGTTGCTTGAGAACTGCACCAACAGAAAGTAGATTTCTGGACGTGTGCAAATGGCATGAAAGACCTCGATGAACTCCTGCTTGGTGACTTGCTCATTTCTTCCTATTAGTCTTTTGTTTTCACTGTGATCTTTAACTCCAGAGCTATTATCTAGCATAAGCCCACACACTTTCTCCCTGACTCTTTGAAGCTCTTTAAACCTGTGCTCCACTTTGCCACTGCTCACCCCAGGGTTCACACTCTGTATTAACTTAATGGCAGACTGCAAGCAAATCCCTTCCTCAACATCTTCCTGTCCTTCTGAATCAGCAGCAGAGGAGAACAACTGCTCCAGCCAGCCAAGACGAAGGCTGTCCTGACGGCTGGCGAGCATGTCAAGGGCGTGTTTCCCATACTGCATCAGATACCTGGAGGAAGATGAGAGAAGAGTGTGCATGCCTAATAAAGGAAGACAAAATTTCATTACAGTGCTGTATCGCCACCATTTTCATTTTCATCTCTGGCATGTTGCTAAAGCACAGTAATTGTAACAGCAGAATCAGCTCAAGGTCTAATTACATTTCCTTCCACAGCCCTTCATAACAAAGAGGTCTTGAAGAACTATACAACCAGGATCTCACTGGTCAAGGTCTAAGACATCAGATACATTGGTGTACTGACATAAAAAGCCTACACAGGTTAGCTAAATAAGCTTAAGCTACCCTGAACCCCAGCCACACCTTAGTACAATTACAGCCACCAGTCAACATTATACACATAATACACACAAGAAAACTAATCCAATGTGTGTGCTAGCATTAGTGCTTTTAAAGCTACAGTATGTAACTTTCTTCATATATTTTTGTTGTAGAAATCTGCTCCGAAACTTGCCTAAATGTGGATAGATGCTGTCAAAGCCTCCTGTGACCCAGACTCATTGAACAGCACTGGCAGCAGTGCAGAGATATTAGCTTCTAAAAGGTTATGAGCGGGATTGGCCTCTCTAACCATTCACAGATTTTCAGTTATTTCTGCTCGATCAGTAAATTTTGTTATATTCTCATTTATTGTAATTTCATAACAACAGATATCTGTAGAGCTGGGCAGAATGGATGGAACACAGGAGATCGTGGTAGAGCATAGTGGAGCAGGGAGAGGGCGTGCTGGGTGTAGCAGAGTGGATTGATTTGGAGTTTCATTCTCATGCTACCTTAAGTTACATAACGTGGCTTTAAAAAACAGTTTTAGGAAGTGAAT